AAACCAGAAGTTATGGAATGGTATTTCATTGAACTTCAACAAATAATTACAAAGGTTATCAATCTGGTACATAAGTTTCAGTAATTAAAAAATTGATTTGAAGTAAATTTGCACAATAAAACAAATTATAGTAAACTTCTATACGGCTACCACAAACACTGTCCTATCCTATCATATAACACATTACTAGTACAAATTTGTAATAAAAACAATAAACACAACATGTCTACACCGATAATTACATAAATCATCGCACAAGTGCTAGGCCATATAAAGTCACCGCCGTTTAATTTGCAATGTATGCTACAAAACAAGACTACGTATGAGAGAAAGTGATGCTTTTTTACCTATTGTGCAATATTATGTGGCAGAGGAATAAGATTTTCATATGTTCGTCCGTTTTTGCCTTGCCTGATTAGACATTTATGGATCTCCACGTTACTCATCTCTGAGGTCCTTTTCACTTCCCTTTTGGTCTTTTTCTTGCCAATTGCCAACAACATCATGCAGTCACGCACAAGATTCTTGCCCTTTTTTTATCTCCATTATTTTATTTCCCTTCTTGATTTTTTTGTTATTGTTATTTTTTCCACCTTTACAAACTGATTATTTTATTTAATTAAAAATATGATATTCCTTGGTGTCGTGATGGTGATGGCTTGGCATGGGTTTTTTGGATTGCGGGAACTCAGGTTTTTTTTTTCTTTTTTTTTTTTTTTTTTTGGATTTCCTTGGCACATGTTCATCTTCTTCTTATGTGGTGTCTTCTGCTTTCTGGGTTGTCATCAGAAAATTCAGACTAGATTCAAGAAGTCATAATCCAATTGTGCTTTTGGAATTCTTTGTTGATGGGTTCTGAGTTTCAGGATTCAAATTCCAAATATGTGAGTTTTATGCAGTCTCTCTCTCTGTGCCTCTCTCCCAGTCTCTGTTTTTTTTTTTTTTTTTTTTTTTTTTTTATATCATCATCTGCAGGCTTTGGAATTTTGGATTATACGTTGTTTTATTTGCAGTGGGACAACTATATCACATGCTTGCCTTCTCGGAGTCTTCTACTTTCTGAATTTGGAATTTGGGTTCGTGGATGATTGCTTCTTTCAACAAATTCCGGATTAATTTTGTGAAAGTTGGGTAAGTTTTTTTTTCTCACAATTCGCATGCAATCCTTACAGAATTTGATTCTGGTCACTTTTTTCATTATATAATTTGTGTATATGTTTTTTGGGTTATGTAGATTACATCTTTGAATTCAACTGGTGCAACAACTCTGCATAAAAAGCCTTCGAATTTCATATGCTGGAATGATTGTCCTTGTGGTTTTGTGCCAATTGGCTCTGAATTGAAAAGGGTTCATGCTGAATTTTTTGTGTCAGATGAATTTATATGTTCTTGGGATGATTTGAAATTCTGGGATTTTCTCGATTTAATCTTAAATGGACGTGCCTCCTTACTGTAAGAATTTCAAAGTTCTCGGTTGCCATTTGAATTCGTTCGCATGCAAATGTGTTGTTTTAGCTGTGACTGCTCTGATTATTAGAGCTGTTCTGCTTCCTACATTCTCCATCTTTGATGGAACTGAACAGGACAACTTGGTATTCATCAGTAATCTCTCGTTGTCATTCGGTCAGAAATCTGGAATCCGAAAAGATAAGTTTTTGGAGGTTCCTCAAATCGTGTGGGGATTAAACAATCAGAAAATAGCGTTCGCAAGAGCTTGTCTGACCGCGAGGTTTTTGAACCGGACGCTTTTGATGCCTAGCTTGAGTGCTTCCCTGTTTTACAAGGAAGTTGAGCTATTGGAACCGATTCCCTTTGATAAGGTCTTCCAGTTCAAGAAGTTTAATTCGCTCTGTAATGGATTCGTTCAATTGGGTGAATTTACGGATGTTAGAAACCGAACAGCAGCGTTTGAGCTTCAGAAAGGAAGTGGAAGGAGGTGGACTCCCGACAGGGACATGGATCAGTTGAAACAACATAATGAGGGTCCATACAGTGAGCATGACGTGATTCGAATTGTTGGAAGGAATCCGTTTCTGTGGCACGATCATTGGCCTGTGAAGGACTATGCGAAAATCTTTGAGTGTTTGGTTTTGGTTGATGAAATAATGAACGAAGCGGATAAAGTTTTGTCAAGGATTAGAGAGATGGGAGCAGCACAAGTAAAAAGCCAGAGTGAGTCTGCACAAAATGGCATTAGCCCGGCAGAGAATTATCTCGTGCAGCCGGTGCCTTATGTGGCTGTACATATGCGGATAGAGATAGATTGGATGATTCATTGTAAGAAGCTGGAGCAAAGATCAAACATAACCCAAATTTGTAGTAGCAAGGAGGAGATCATGGAAAGAGTGGGCAACATTGTAGGCCTCAAAACGCCCGTCGTTGTTTATTTAGCTATAGCTGATAGTCTTCTTCATGATCCGTCTATTCTGAACGGCTGGAAGTCAGGCTTGATTCCTTTCGAGAAGAAGAAATTGGGAGTTGAAGGGAATTACAAGAAGTTCCCTTATCTCATTCAGTCTGCAATCGACTACGAAGTGTGCTTAAGGGCTGATGTCTTTGTGGGAAACAGTTTCTCCACATTTTCGAGTCTCATAGTTCTCGATCGAACGCAGAAGCTCATTAGAACGGGCGTCACAAGCTGTTGTGGTGTGGATGTAAGGTGGCCTTCTTATGCATACAACATATTAGGGGAATCAAACGGACCTCAAAGATGGATGACAAACATGTCTAGCTCAAGTCTTCAACCAATTAGCTATGGCTCCAACGACATCTCGTGTCAAGTTTGATGATCATTTTATCATCAACGGACATACTTCAAGGCTCCACCACTTTTCGTAATCTAAATCATTACGTCCCTCCAGCGTAAATTTGTTGGTATGGTTTTACAGTTTTTTTTTTCCCTTTCTGTAGAGAAAATTAATAGCTTAGAATGTTGAAGTAGCACTAAATTATGTACAGTTTGAACTGATGTGAACTTCAAATTTATGTCATAAATGTAGTTTTCATTCTATTGATTTTCTTCATCCTGAATCTTAATGAAATAGTTTGTGAACCCTTGATGTCCTTATTAGACGTTTTCACGGTGCATTTTTATTCAACGCCCTGTTTATTAACGTTGGATGAGTTTAAATTTTGAGATTTGTATCTATTCATTACATATATCTTAACGGTGACAAATAGGATGGTGAGTATCATCATCACTTAAGGGTGGTGAGCAAAAATATTTATTGTTTTTACCAATGTTAGTGAATTTCTTCTCTTTCATGAATTCTTGTACAATATACAAACACTAATAAACTTTTTTTTTGGGATAATTATTTAAGAAGAGCCGAATATTTTATTATGCTCGGGAATATATTATGCATCCTTAACTGAGAATTTAACAGTGAAAAACTTTGGTGTATTGAATACAGCGGAATATATTAGAAGTCTCGACCAAAACATAAAATAAGAATATTGTACAGAAAAAGGGGGTGAGCAACTTTGAGCTTTTGTCACATCATCTTTGTATTTATTTGGAAATCTTTGCTCATCCTGTTTCTTTTTGTTTGCTTGGAGTTGGCGAAATTGGGTGAAAGTCACCAGTGGCTGTACCTCAATGCTTTAGGGTTTACTTGTTTTTATTAATTGTTGATTAGTGCTTAAACTTTAGACTGTAAGATCTAATTCTCATTTTACTTTGGATCAAATCTTCTGTATTCAAAATACATGCAGCCTCTCGATAGTCCTAATAATTGATTGATCCGTGTTTGTAAACTTAATTTTTCTTAATTTTGTTGCCAAAAACTTAGTATGTGTCAATCAATAATTGAGGTTACAGAAAGGTCACACCCATGTAGAAGATTTGATCTCTTTACCTTGAGTTAATCAAGTTTTGGGGTGTTTGGGCACTTTTGCTTTATTAGGAGTCAACATGTGCTTGCTTTACTATTGAGTGCAATTAGGAGTGTAAACTTGAAATTAGTCATAGTTTCTTTTCTTCTTTAGCACTCTTTGTAAACTTGTAAAATTTACTCCACTTTGGTATAGGAGAAATCCTTCTGAAGACCTCTGACTTTGTCCCGGCTTTGCCCTTGGCTTTGCTTTTGCCTCCGCGTTTGCACTAAAATTTTGTAGGTAATCTATTACGAAACTTTAGAAACGAAAGATAATAATTGCACGCTATGGTTATGGAATGAATGCATTATTTAGGACTCGAATATTATATGAGTATGAAAAGATGTTAAATCCAATTGGGCGTGACGACGGACCTAAGCATGGCTCATCTCTTGTACTTAAGAGCTTTTGTCTCCTGCGCATTGAAGGAAAAAAAAAATCCCAACCATTCTTTCATGAAAAGAATGTGCAAGAGAGAATTTCCGCTTGTATCTAATAGTAAGAAGCTTAAAAATCCTAAACAATGTGAAGCCCAACGTACCAATTTTGATTCTTGGTAGGTTTTGATTGAAGCCTCTTGAGAACGAAATTGGCATTAAACATATGGTGATGGTGACCTTGATTGAATCCTCTTTTATCCAAAGTGAAACGTCTCATCTCTTTCCCATTTACTTGTAAAACATACAAGAAAAGAGAGTTTCTATCATACAGTAGTGGACATCTAAGCTCAATGAATATGAGTACGACGTAAATCGACTCGATACAGCTTGAGTTTGTATCGAGTTTGGTTTGCATATGGGTCGTCTCAACTCTGCTCGTTTAAAAAACAAGCCAAGCTTTGAGTTTTGATAAGTTCAAGTCAAGCTTGAGCTTTCGCATGTTCACCTTGTACAACACGTAACTAACTAATGTTATAAGAATTTTGCCTGGAACGAAGGATTATTTTTAGTAAACGAACCAAGCTTGAGCTTTGGTACGATTGGCTTGTAAAGCTCGTAATCAACTCATTTACATGAAATTTGCTCGGAATAAAAGATCATTTGACGAGTATTTACGGTGTTTCGAATCTCGGAGAGAGCATCGTAAATGGAAAACATTTATGTCGTTTCAATTCAATAACATGGTAAACGTTCAATTCAGTGTTTATTTCTTCATCTCCTTTTTTTTTTTCAAGCAGAAAGCTATCATCAAGCATATAGATACTTCTCTTTCTAGGTTTTACACAAGGTACTTTTAATGGCCGCAAATCTTTGAACACATTGCTTACGAAACTACAAAGGAAAAGAGGCACATATATCTCCGGGGTGAATAGAGCGAGACACTCTTTACTCCTATCGAAAGGCATAGTCGGGTAACTGTGCAGATTATTTTCCAAATCGGGAGTCCTTTAATTCACTGGATATATTCTTCATAGTAGTTATCGCTTATCACGGACACAAACCTCTCCAGCCAAGGAAGCTGATGAAGATCTTTCATGGCATCTACATAAGAATCTGTACATCGCGGTGGGGACTGGTAAGGGGGATGGTCGCTTAAACTGAATCCCCCAGCTAGGAACCTCTGGATCAGCTCCAGCTGTGATCTCTCTTGGTCCGAGTACGCATCCATTATCATGGGCAACGAATTGAATGTTTCCCACGCCCATTGCTCAGATTCATGCATAGACTGAGTGACCAAGTCTTCTGTGTTGTTATTGTTGTCTTCGTCCCAGAAGGCACATTGACAAGTCTGTTGGCTATCCCGATATTCAGCACCACAAGAATAACAGAACTCATGCCCACACCTGAAAGTGAGAAACACGAAAAGCTTGGTAAATATTCGAGAACTTCAAAATGGAAAGGGAGGTATTGTGTTCTTACTCAAATAGTTACACTATGACTCGATAAAACCAATAAACCGAGGCTTGATTTTCATCAGCTTTAATCATAGGAACATACTACTTTCTCCTACAGGTTCTCATTATACGCCACTTTATCCAAACAGAAAATTGGATATTGATAAAATGCTCAAGAACTTTGAACCAGAGCACCAAGATGCTGCCACGCAAAAAGAAAGCCAGAGTCGTGAAACGATTAAGTAGTTTCCATCTAGTCCAGCTGTTACTGACTTACAGTATCTGAGTTTAACTCTCTAACGTGTGTGTGCATACCCCAATAAGTGACCTACTCGCAACAGATGCTACTTAAAGTCTAATGAACCCAATTCCCACGAGCCATAAATTTTCTGAGAGCATAATAACAACAGACTACAATCTGAAGCTCAATCATTTTTTGTAACAAGGATTATGCTCCCTCACAGGCAAGCAACAAGATACAAAGAAATTCAAACAATTTTTTTCAATGCGTCACAAAGCACATTGTCTGGCACATAAACACACATGAACATCTGGTGTACTCTATCATGTCTTATATATTCACTTCATAACTGAAAATAAAGATGTTCTGAGACTTATGTCCCGCAGTATGCCTTTTTTCTAGTTGATTCATCCAGGCTTTAGTTCTATATTGTCCACTTTAGACATGTTTGACATGTTCTGAAAAATATGGCATTCTCAACCCACTTAGTCAATGTTTATAGTTTTCCAATAGTATGCACAATATAATGAAAGTGATTCTTACCAGCACGTCATGTGGTAGCAACCTTGAGAGAGCTCAATCATCCTACGACACTGCTGGCAACGCCTCCAGCTGTTATTCTGTGCCAAGCGATGCAAGGTAATATCTGCAGCATCTCTCTCTTCCAGTGGGAGGTTTTGGAACTCCTCACAGCTCATAGAAGAATGCCAAGGAACCCCACAATCCACACATATGAACCTCTGACAAACTGGACATTCGACACAGCTGTTATCTGACTGACTTGATGAACTTGCCCTGGCTGACAAACATTCAAGGGGAGCAAGCAGGGTGGAACAATTTGGAAATGGGCAGTACACTCTATCTGAGTGGAGAATATTCGCTTCTGCAAGGGATTTCTCCAATGACTCATAAGAAGTGAGTGGAAGAAAAGATTTGCACTCAGCAGTGGAGATGTAATACATGCATCGCAGCTGAGGACATCTGATGGGAACTTGAGAGGATTGTACCTTCCCATCAACATATGTCCTCATGCAATGAGTACAGAACTTATGAGAACACTTCACGGTGATCATCATTGGGGATGGTTTATCGTCGCAACAGATGGAACAATTTTCAAGTGATTCAACACCCTTAGCAGGAAAGGAGACAACTCCAATTGCCACTTGGGCTAATTTTGATGGCCGCTCAAGATCTACAGTGGGGACAAGTTTCAGGACAAAAGCTTCAAGATTACAGGCATGCTCTAGGATCCTTTGCCTCAGTGCTATCAAGATTGGAACTTCAAGTTTCTCCTCATGTGAAACCTGTCAGAAATTCAAGTCATTGGCATACATATTACAATAAAAAGATTTGAATAATTCAAAACTAGTGCTAGTGCTCAAATGATGAAACATGATGTAACCCTCCAGAGTAATCACTCATAGTATTGTTTTCCAAAACTCGCCTAAAAAATTGTGTTGTTAAAAAGAGTATATAATTGATCCTGAAACAGAACTAATCCCCTTTTTAATCAATGAATTCAAGCAGCCACAATGCGGAAATTGCAATGGATAATCAATCAATGAACTTATCAAAATAGGTCACCTGAATTCGAAATACAAGTTGTTGAAAATTACAAAATTATATTCTGAAGTACACACAGAAAAAGGGACAGACAGGGCAGAAAAATGCTTAACAAAATTCTTGGTTTCATATTTGATACGACTTCTAAAATGGTAGCCGAAATGAAGAAAGAAACATAACTTTTACACAGTGAAGAACTCACCTGATCATATAACAGCTCAGAATCTGTGAATGCATACACCCTACGGAATTTATTCTGCACAGCCTCCATTAGACCATCCATCAGGGCTAAATAGTCAGCCACAGGCTCCTCCACATAAAAATCAAGCCTTTTCTGCACCTGAATTGCAGGAACATTGATTGATCTTTCCATGACAACTCCGATTCCAGAAAGCCCACAACTGGCGTCCCCGTACCCAGCTATGGACATGCCTTTGAAGAACATTTTCACCGAAAATTCATCGAGATCATCTTTTGACTCATCTTTTGCCTCAACTTTCATTGGTTCTTCAGTCTCCTTCCAAACTTCATCATCGTCTTCACAACAGCTCCGAAACTCTTCTTCGTCTTCCTCTCTAACTAAAGTTAATGAAACCTCATCACCAGAAATTGCCTGACCCTCCATTTTATACAACAGCTCTGCAATCCTAAACTGAAAGATGCGATTATTACTTAAATCCAATCACAATCAACCTATAAATCAATCTGGAGTTCTGTATTTTCAACAAAAATCTTCCAAATCACAAACAATTGTTGATATCAATCACCGATCCTTCAAGGCCTCTCTAAATAATCAAGCAAGAAAAACCCATCAAGGAATCGATCCACAACATCCAGAACTGCCAAGTGTAGCATCATCACCTAAAAATACCACAAGGTTAAACCCATCAACCAATCGATTGAGCTCCAAATTCCAAATCGAAAACCCAGAAAAACCCATCTAGGAATTAATCCAAAAGAACCAAAATTGGATAATTATTGGCTCATCCACATAAACAAAAATCAACCCAAGAAAAAAAGAACAATGCTTTTCAATTCAATCCCTCCAAACCTGTACAAAAGTACAAAAATATTAAATAAACATAGAAAACTAGGAAAAGGGTATGATACTGGAAGGGAAACCGGGCAAGAAAGAAGTGAAGTTCCGAAATACCTTATCCGGAGGAGGGGTTAAAGTCTTCGGAATCAGATTCCTTTTGGGGTCTGAATTCTAAGACAGTGTCTTGTAATTGGCTAATTGCAGTAAGAGTATAATAAGAACCCTAATCTGACAAATTTCAACCTTTGATTTGGTGCCTCACCCACTAACAAGATGCTGTTTTTATTCTTTTAGATGAAAAATATTTGATTAATTACTTATTAGGATGGTGAGTGCTGAGAAAAAGAATCCTCAGACTTACCATTGCAGTGTTCTTGGCGTAAGAGAACAGTCAGTGCCTTTGGCCTTTTGCTTTGGTCACATTCTCTTTCCAAAACACGCATAAACAATTATTACGGGAATATTAAATTTAGAGTTTAAATTTATAAATTAAATGATATATCATCAATAAAAAATGAGCATGTTTATCAACGTTTAAGTAATAATCTAATAATCAACTTTCATATCATTTTATTTACAAAATTTGGTCTACAAATTTAGTCTCCATAGCATTACTCATTCTCTACATTCTCATCAAGTATGCTTTTATTTTTGGAAACTTTGACGAAAAGTTTCTAGTACTGTTCATTTTAACGAAAAACCACATTTTTACACTAAAAAGTCAATTATGGTACTATTCATTTTACTTTTTATTTTGTCTTTATTATTAAAATTCAAACTTTCATTTAACGAAAAATCATATTTTACACTAAAAAGTCAATCATGGTAATATTCATTTTATCATTTATTTTATCATTATCTTTAAAACTTAAAGTTTTCAAATCATTTTCATTAGTTTTTCTTTTATTTTTCCTATATATTACCAAAAGGAAATTCCTTTGATTTTCGTATCAATCACAGAGAGAAATTTAATTTATAATTCTATTAGGGTAAAGTACAAAAAACTACATCAACTATTAGGATCACGATAGTTTCATACCTCATCTTTTAAAATTGACAACACGAATTTGTGACAATGTCATACCTCCGTCAATTTTTCTATTAGTTTTTCTGTTAAGTGCTGACGTGGCAAGAGACTAGAACCACTTTCTATTAAAAAATTATTAAAAACTAAAATAAATATTTAATATTTTTTTAAATATTAAAATAATAAATAAAATTAAAATTAAAAAAATAATAAATAAATAAAACCTTAGTCATCCCTTCCCTCCCCCTCTCTCTCTTCCCCATCTTCATCTTCTTCTGCTTAATCTTTAACAAAAAAAAAAAAAAATTGAAAACCCAGCCCTACCCGCCCCCCCAAGGAGAAGGAGGAAGAATCGAAGAAGAAGAAGGAGGAAAAAGAGGAGGAGGAAAAAAAAAAATTTTGAAAACCCATCCCCACCCGCGCCCCCCCCCCCCCCCCCGCGGGAGAAGCAGGAAGAAGAAGAGGAGGAGGAAAAAACAAAAAAAAAATTGAAAACCCATCCCCACCCGCGCCCCCCTCCCCCCCCCCCCCCCCCCCCCCCCCGCGGGAGAAGCAGGAAGAAGAAGAGGAGGAGGAAAAAAAAAAAAAAAAAAATTTGAAAACCCAACCCCACCCGCCCCCCCCCCCCCCCCCCCCCCCAAAAAAAAAAGGAGAAGGAGGAAGAACCGAAGAAGAAGGAGGAGGAAGAAGAGGAGGAGGAAAAAAAAACCCAAAAGAAGGAAGAAGAAGGAGAGGGGAAATGGGATGCCGCACCCTTAGGAAATTTTTTTGTTTTGTTTTTTTATTCTTAATTTTTTTAATATTTAATTATTAAAAATATATTTAATTATTTTTAAATCCAGCTGGATTAGTGAGTGGTCCATCTCTCTTGCCACGTCAGCACTTAATAGAAAAACTAACAGAAAAATTGACAGAGGTATGACATTGTCACAAATCATAAAATGCGGTATGACATTGTCAATTTTAAAAGATGAGGTATGAAACTATTGTGACCCCAATAGTTGAGGTAGTTTTTTGTACTTTATCCTAATATATTATTCATAATAAGATTTCTTTGGTTAAGGACTAGTGTGGACACAGTAACACAATGGAAAGCAATGTGGAATATCAAAATCTTCGTTAAGTGGCCAACAAAATGCCTTATTCTATATATGAGTTTTTATCGAGTGTTAGTTCGAATAACTAAGGTAACTCAAGTTCAAGACAAAATGAGTTAGATACTCAGATGAGATTTTAGCTAATCTTAAAATATGAAAAAACTTTTGCTTGTCTACCAAAAAAAAAAAAAAAAACTTTTAGACAATTTATAGCTTGTAATGTTGTTTTTAAATTATGAATAATAGTGTATTGTTTCATTTTTCATTCTTATTTATGTTTAAAAAAAATCGAAACTTGTACACCATTCTATGAATAAAAGCGCTATCGTTTAACCAAAAAAAAAAAATTGTTATCGTTTAATACTATTTGTGAAAACTCTAAGCATTTTCTCAAAACAAAGTCTCTCTTATTCCATTTATTTATATGAATCATCTTCTTCCATTGCTTCATATGTGTGAAAATGGGAGATATATCGTTGAAGCTTTTTATTGTTAGGTGAAGGACACACTTCAATATTTTGAATTACGTTAATCATTGAGGAAGAAGTCAAGGTAAGAGAGTCGTGCACTTTCAAAAATATAAGTGCAATTGTACATAGCATTAAGTTGGCTTCTAGGAAAGGAAATGGATTCTTTCCGAATCCTTTCCACCAAATCCACTAAATCAATCAATCTAAAAATTCGATCCAACGGCTATAAATAGGAAATCCGTTAAAAGTTATAATAACTTTAGTTATTTGATCAAATTTCAAGAATCCGAATTAAATAATTAGGTGAATTTGATAGAAGAGATCTAAAGAGGATCCCTTCCTCCGGGAAATTCACCAACTGTACGATATACAAATAAGGCCCCTCCCTAGACAGTGCCATTCTGTTCTTAGTCAACGAATTCATGAAACTTCGAAGAAAATATAAACACATTAAGACAAACCCTCGAGATTCTCGGCCAGAAATTAGTCTGGGTTTGAAGAATCGTGTGCAGTATGCACATGGTCCTTGTCTAGTTCGATGAAGAAAATGTGACTTTGTTCTTGACTTTTTTTAAACTTCCTGACAATATATTTTTATATTAAACAATCCATGTTAAAAGTGGATTAAAAAAAAAAAGACATCAATCATTAACAAACCCTATCTTGTTAAACGAAATTAGTCAAATGTCTTTTTTTAACTCTTCAACTTAAGAGATGAATTAATTGGAAATTCAAGGCGCTAAATTCTGAAAACGAGATCCATATATGAATAGCATTGTAGTTTTAGTGCGGCATGAGTGTTTAATCCAAATCATGACCAATTAATTAAACAAATTGTGGCAATTGTTTGGCACAAAATACAAATGGTGGCCATTATTTAGTGTATGAATGCAGTGTTTGTCTTAATTTGTACCTAATCACTTTCTTGTACAGCCTTGCACTTTACAGGCTGACAATCCTATCATCATCAATCATGGATAATCCTCATGTTGCTTTGATATTATTAGTTGGATATGAGTTTAAATTTCGTGGTTGCGTAAGGTTTGGTGAAGGTAGGGTCGTTGGTGTGAAAAAATTAACAATATACTTTGAGAAGAAAGGCTTTTGACTTTGTATATGATTTGCTGTTGAACAATATTTATTTGACATTTTCGAGTATGAAGTCATTTCTCTTTTATCGCAAATTATTGATCTCACACATTTAGAAATAACTTGTGAAAAGCTAAAAAAAGTTATATACAAATATATCAAAGTGTAATTTTATTGTAAAGAAAAATGAGTTCTTAGATGCAAACAGTCAAACACTTTTCTCTAACGAAAAAAAAAAACTATACAATATTATTCTTTTATTAAAATCTAATATTTAGGTCATTCTATAAATTTCAATAACTGAATAGTGAAGTGCAAATCATTCATCTGACTTGGGTGCAGGGGCAAAAGAATAATCAAATTGTCTAGTAGTTGGTTCTCTCAGAAGTTCCTCTCATAATACCTGGAGCTCGTGAACGAGTTCTATAAGGTAAAGCTAATGATAAAGGCATCGGGGGTGCAAAGACCTCGACCTATTCTCAAACTTTAAATAGGTAGGACAGCATGGCTGTTTCGTTGAGTCGCGCCACAGAATCGAGAGCTCCAAGTGGGCCATTTTTGGTAAGTAGAACTAGCGATGCAGGATGAACCAGAAGCTAAATTACAACGTCAATTACGCGCTAACCTAGAACCCACAAAGAGTTTTGGTCGATCAAGATAGCAGGAGGGTAGTCATGGAAGTCGAAATTAAATTATAATATACACGATATACTAGAGAATAATAAATTTTCGTATATTTTGATACGCAAATTTAAATTGTTCATTAAATATGGTTACAAATCATTTTTAATAGGGGAACATTAATCAAATACTTGAGAATACGCTTCTACTAAGAAGACATCAACTTATATACAAATTTGGAAAGTTGAATGTCCATACTCCATTTATTCAAGTTGGATTAAATATTTGGTTACAAATAACAAACTCCTTTGTGAATAAAAGTTTCACAAGTTCATTGGAATGATTCGTGTCTTTACGCGTAATGCCACAGTAGTCAACGGTCTACCCATTTTATGTTCATCATTTGTCCTTGCAATTTTATATGTCAAAAATGGGTCCTGATGTTTTGACCAGTGCAACAACACGACAACGTATAGCAGTTAGGGTTTGGAAGGTTTGGTGTCCCCGTCCTGGAAGGTCAGTTTATGTTAGTTCATAGTTGACTTGGTTTTATATCATTCTTTATCGTCAATTACTTTTATAAGTTTTCTTTTTAACAAATGATATTATCTATACTAAAGGGTGGAAGAATAAGCTAAGTCTCATAATGGGCTAGCAATGATGTGGTTCAAATTTGTCTATGCCGAGAATTGAACCCAAATAAAGAGAAATATCACTAGGCCGCATTATTAAGAGCATTTCCACTCCTAAAAAGTCCTTGGGCAATAGTCAATTCAATCTACCCAAGTAAATAGTAACTGCCTGTAATGAGCCAAGTGCATCTCCACTCCTATTCGTATTTTACAAAATAATAAAAATAATTTTATTTTTAATTTCGGATAATTATAAAAGATTGCTTGAAAATATTTGAAATATTGAAATGTGGTGTAGGGTAAAAGAACATGGTTACGTACTTATAGTTATATTTTTAATTAATATTTTTTTATAATTTTTTGTATTTTTAATTAATTTTTATAATTTTTTTAAAAGAATTGACGTCAGCATTGCATCACATGATCAAAGGACTGGGCCAGGCAATTGTTGATTGGGGGACTAACTGGGCTTCCCCGGAGCCCAATAGATGTAACAGGCTGGAGACCAATTTTGGAGGAGAGAGGAGATTATGCCGCCTATGACCGAAGAGATGCTTAGCGGTGGAACTACTCTAAGTGGAGTAATTTTTCGGTGTACCCGGCACACCAAATTTTTTTGGTGTACCCTCACTCATAATGGTGAGGGTGCACCAAAAAAATTTGGTGCACCCTCACTTTTTGTACACCAAAAAAATTCTAATGAGTGAGGGTACACCAAAAAAATTTGGTGTACCCGGTACACCTAAAAATTTTTCCTCTAAGTGGCTCTTTTATAAGCCTTAAGTTTAAAAAAGACACATCTTTTTTTTTTTTTTTTTTCACAGGAAACACTGATTCGGAGTAAATGGCAGACACAGTGACCCGATCAATGGGCATAACCTACATTACCTGCCGAGAGGTTTATTCCTGAAGGATCAAACTGGTAGAATAAATCCCTAAATAAGATGTAAGACCGCCTCGCTTTATATATTTTTCAAGGTACTCCAAGGATAAAGCCAAAAAATTGTGCTGTGTCATATATCTAAAGAGTTATAACAAACGAATGAAAATCATCCAATTTTTTAGTGTTATTACAATTCTTGTGGAACAAGGAATACAAGGTATCCTATCAAGGGTTTCATTCTATCACACCACCAACGAGGTTTCAGTCGTCAGAGGCAATTTTTTGGCAGCCACAGCTTTGAGGCGGTACCGCTCTGCTCTGGAGCCAATGACTTGTCCTAGTACTGATGCGGCAATGGTAAACGCCATGGCTGATTTAGGCATGAGCACAGACTTCCGAAGTATGGCTATGAATGGCACAGCTGCATGCACAGCAGCGAACCAAGATAGTGAGAATTTTTTGGTGTGCTCTCTACATATCCCTAAAGGAACATTGGCTGCCATGCCCATTGATCCGATCACAAGTACTTTTGCCGGAAGGGGTTGTGGGCGGAGGTTCTTTGCAAATGCAGTTCGTGACAGGGCTGCTCGAGCTGCAACTATTGCTGGCGGGCACTTGAGTTTCATTCCTGGAGGGGGCTGCAAAACTTTTGCGACTAGTGGAATGACACTGCTAACAGCACGGTATGACTTTGCTACAGGACATCTTCCGGATTGCAGCCACTCATTACCCAATGCCTCGTGATTAGAATTTCCTCCCTTTGAAGTAGAATCTTTTTTCGAGGAATTAGATTTCCTTTGCTGTTTCTTCCATGCATCGAAACTGAATGGCCCTCCAGGACCAAAGACTGAGAGACAAATTGTAGCTGCCTTTGTAGCTAATGGATTAAACATGGGTGGTGGGGCTGAAGGTTGAGGCTCAACTATGTCAAAATAATGCGAAATCCCAAATTGTGCACTTGGTTCTTTAAGCACACTGTTAGAGACATATTTACGGTAGCCCCGTATATATAGTTTAGGTTACTTGCACCAAAAGTTTCTATGTTGTAATATTTTAGTTTCCTACCACTCGCAGGAAAACTCAAAAACTCTTCTGTAAATTGTTAAAGAGTATATAGAATGGATGATGAGGATTGTGCCACTTGTCAGTCATTGAGGATATAGATTAACTGTTATAAAGGTTGTTATGCTTAGGTTGTAGAGATAAGGTTGTTGTAATAAGATCTTACAAGATAAAAGTATAAGATTGTGTATTAATTCAACACAGAAAATTTCATCAAAGATTCAGTTTCTTCTTCTTCAAGCTTTCTCACTTTTCTTTCTCAATAGCTCTCTAAATCTCTTCTTTCTTGAGTTCTGCAGTATGATCAACATAAATCTCTATATATTTTACAGCTCATCGATCAATGGAATTAAATCAAGAGTCCTATTTCTAAATGCTACCGACCTTTGGTCCTAGGGTTTCCTGCCTCGTGTTTGCTTCTTTCCCATGGCTTCTTCTTTTCTTCTCAGTTCCCGGCCGGCCCAAAAACTGCCGATTTTGTAAAACTACCCGACTCTAATACAAATGTTGGCCATTATTTAGTGTATGTATGCAGTGTATGCCTTTATACTCAATCACTTTCCTGGTTACAAAATGACAAAACTTCATTGTGAATGAAAGTCCCATGAAGTAGGAAACGTCTCTATTAGGCAAAGTAGGGAACTGTGGTGCATAGTGTGACAATGTGTGTGTGTGTGCGCGCGAGTGAGTGCGTGCATATATATAAAAAAACATTTCATATCTCACCATGGCAACAACACAATAATGGGGCAGTTGCGAGTCTCCGCTTCCTTCCTTGCGACTTCATAATTGTGGGAATGAAAATGGCCAAGGCCAGCACCCGCCGCAGCCATCTCTTGGTCTACCGAAACAGCAGCAACAGTAATATTATCTGGGTTAACTACAGTTCTGCATCTCCTGCTGTATATGCTGGTGGCCATGGAGTCCACCCCATCAGAGTCGCAATTGCAGACAACATAGCCACATAGCCTGAGAAAGGGAAATTGTGCCATGGATCTTCCTTCAGACAAATAGATTGCAACATTTCATATGAATCAGGCAAAACGTGCATGAAGCCAGTGGCAAGAATGATGCCACCTGTAAAGCAGTTGGCGATCAAAGAAGAGATTTCGATGGGGGTGCAAGGCCAATGGGTAAGCTCACTCCAATCATTGTTCTTTTTTTTTCACTCCAATCATTGTTGAGATATAAACGTTTTGCAGAATTTGGTGTTGAAGTTGTTTTAGTTTTCGAATTCAATGTGACCCCTTGGATCATATTTCAAGTGTGCATTTCAGATTCAATCTTAGTTAAGTGGTAGATTTTGACACTCGTAACTATCTCGCAGGATAGATTACTTGAATGGTTGGATTTGGTTGATGTAAGAGAGAGAAACTCTCTTTCTCTCTCCTTGTAACAGTAATGTGCTCCATCACACATTGTGTGTGAGCTGTGAATGAAGGAATCCAATTCTTGATTGTTCTCTCTGCAAGCATTCATTCATCTTTCCCAGAAATCCAAAACCTCACACTCTTAATCACAAAAAGAAATAAACCAACAAATTCACAAACTCCAACAATCATGCTTGTGACCAGAATTAAGACAAGGGCAAGGATTTTGAGGGGCACAGCACCTGACTTGTCCTTGCAGGAGGAGGTGCTTTCAGTGCTGCACTCGTCCTCCTCAGACGGTGAATAAGCTTTGGTAGTGAGTATGGAGATAATTAGGATGAAGGAAATAATTGAGATGAGCTATAAAAGTGACTTGGTGGCAGCCGTTAACAATACAAAAGTCAAGCTATTGGAGGATTGAAGTAGCGGAGGTTAATTTTATTCTTCATTAATATTATCTTTATGCAAACAAAGATGCAGGTAACAAGTTGCTTTCACATCGTTTGTATTGTTAGATATGGCTAGATATGTCCGTCCAGATGAAGATTTTTTTAGTTACATTTCATCAATTTGTAGCTGGTGGAGAGTCCATAATATGCTTTTATGAATTGGTTTTGACAGATCATTTTGGGAAGTTAATTTGTCCTTACGAACATGTCCACTTGAAGAAAAAAGAAAGGCAGAAGACGGTAGGAGGATTGGTAGGAACGATATCTCAACCAGAAGCAAACAAATGACGTACATCTATACACCCTTTGGTTTTTATTTTGCTCGGATTTCATTTCCAATAACCAAGTGTTTTATATTTTGATGGTGCATAAATATTTAGATTTGTATTAAGTAAAACAAGAAGTCAAGCAACATGCCCTATTTTGTAAGTGGGTCCGTAAAGCTTGAGGGTGCTTGTGTTTGGCGTGCGCTTCAAGCTCAAGTGCACGTGACTATTTTTTTAAAGAGCAATTTGTCAGTGTGTCTGAAACTTGGCTATGTGGTGTTATTATTCCCCTCAGTTATGTTACGTGGAGAGATTTTTCAATTTAGAAATTCTTATCGTGGAGTGGGTTAAACCTCACAATGGATTAGCAATAATGTGGTTCAAATTCGTATGTGATAAGAATCGAACCTAAAACCTCTCACTTACAAGTGAAGAGGAATATCATTAGACTGTAGTATTAAGTGACATTTTTTTTTTTGTTTTTGTTGAGAAGTAGTAATGCCAAGTTAAGAAAATTGAGCAGTCTCTTTTGTTTATTCTATCTGCTCTATGATGAGTAGGGGTAGGCACGGGCCAAGCCAGGTTCAAATTTGGAGGAACCATACTGGACCTATTTGAAAATGAAACAGAACGGGGCAGGACGGAGTGGGTCATTATATTTTCAAACATAGAACTGGACCTAAAACGGCCCGTTTGAAACGGGCCGGTTCCTACAGGTTCATGGGTCCAAGTGAAAAATCCTCAGGACAAGTTACTACTTGAGATACATTTCGCTGCAACCAAACAGCTATAAAGGCCGATATCCTCAGGACAGATTTCTACCCTATAATTGACGGCAAACATAGGCTAGCATATTCGTTTGTTGTTAATGAGAAAATATTCTTTGCGAGAGTTTGTTTAATGCAAACCAATATTTTTCACTCACATTGACGAAAAATGATCGAAGATGGTGCCGTTTGTCTCGTGCCTGCTTCTCGACATGCATTGAAGATTTTTGTTTGAACACCCAAATTTTTCTACACCAACAATTAAAGGCTTGAAAAATAAACGGTTCAATCTAAGAAACAATACAAAGTAAATTTTCCCCTCAAATAAAACTAAATTACACATACAGATATAAGTGAGCCAGAAAGATTCAACATTTTAGTTAGAATGTGAACTAATAGCATCCTTTAATTACTGAATTCTCTTAAATTCATTTGCTCATCAAACTTGAGACAAGGAAGCTTGGCTATTTATTCCATTTGGGTAATCACAATACAACAATGACAACTAACATAAAAAAATCTATATCGATTTATGGAAACATATAACGACCATCAAATTTTCACAAACTTTTAGGAAATTAACACGACCGACTTGACACCAAAACACATAAAATAAGAACAACAGTATTTGCTTAATTTTCAGATGATCATGGCATGGCATGAATAGTCTTATTAAGCCCACTTTGCCAATACAGACATGCCACCTGCACCCAAAAGAACTGCAATGTAAGATTTGATCTGGAGCTTAATGCTGCGTTGCAACTTTGGACCCATGAAGTCGGCAGCAAGAAGGTCAACCAAAGCCATGTAGATAAGAAGGCCAGCCGATGATGCATTAAGCAGTCCTACTGTGATTAGTGACCTTGGACTATTTTCTTTGTACGATTTTGTCATAGCCATTCCAATTGCAATTCCAAATGGGGTCGTTGTTGAGAAGAAGAACACCATTATGGCCTTCTTCATGAACTTGTACTCAGCCTGCATGCAATTGACCATGATGAGTAAATGATATGTAGTTCATGAGCTAATCAATTAAGTTTATGTAATTAAGTTTGAATTAGGCTATATACCTGTAGAATGCAACCGCCAAGACCCATGCCTTCAAACATTTGATGGAAGCAAAGCGCAGCTACAAGACCTTTAATTGTGCAGGTGTTGTTTGAAGCTCCAAGAGAAAGCCCTATAACAACTGAATGGACAATGATACCTAGTTCTAATACCTGCAAGAATACACACGTACGTACACATCAGTCACTTATAAATTGGTAAGATCGATCGAGTAATTAAAGTTGACTTGCTGTATACTAAATTAATTATCTGAGGTACTGTCAAGCTAATCAACTAGTTTATCAATACTCATATCAACAGTTTAACACTATTATATATAGCATGGTCTGCATATTATATTGCCATGTTAATCTGAATCACAAATTCATTATACATTTTGTATTATGACACTATTAATCTGAATTACAAATTCAAATAAAAATTCACGTTGTCAATGACCATTTGATCTAGTGACATTTAATTAGTCTCCAGAAGAAAGAGTTGAAAACATAAGTACGTAAGAAAAATATAAAAATCTCTTCATCAAAACTTACAGTCAACAATTTAACCGTTTGATAAGAACACATTTTATTTCTTACCATGGCAACAACACGATAACGGGACAGCTGTTGCGAGTCTCCGTTTTCTCCCTTGGCAACAACATGATTGTGTGCATGAAAATGGCCATGCCCAGCACCCACCACAGCCATCTCTTGGTCTACCTCCAGGGCTGGATTATCACCATTATCTGCGATAACTCCAGTTCTACATCTCCTACTATATATGCTAGTGGCCATAGAGTCCACCATTAAAGTCAGAATTGCAGATAACATAGCCACAAAGCCAGAAAAAGGGAACTTGTGCCATGGATTTTCTTTTAAACAACTAGATTGTAACATGGCATATGAATCAGGCAAAACGTGCATGAAGCCAGTGGCAAGAATGATGCCACCTGCAAAGCACTTGACGATCACAAAGAGGTTTCGATCAGGGTGGAAGGCTGGTATGGAACGAGTGACAAGAGGGAAGCTCACTCCAATCATGCTTGTGACTAGAATTGAGACAAGGGCTATGATTTTGAGGGGCACAGCACCTGACTTGTCATTGCAGGAGGAGGTGTTTTCAGTGCTGCACTCGTCCTCCTCAGACTGTGAATAAGCTTTGGGGGTGAGGATGGAGATAATTAGGATGAAGAAAATAATTGGGATGAGCTTCAAACGTGACTTGGTGGCAGCCATTGACCCTGATTTTTAGGTCAAGCTATTATTGGTACTTTTGGGCTTGAGTGTATTGGAGCTTGTTTATATAGAGAGGTCTCTGAGATTAATTATGCATTCAATAACATAAAATATTAGGGTGATAAGTTCTATGTTATACCTATTGGCCAAAAAATTAACAAACTCTATTTTATATTAGAGAATTGTTATTGGCAATTCAAAAATCTTATTTTACACTTCAAACATTCTATATTAGGAAAGAAAAATACATTTTTGTGAGGAGTGTAGAATGAGATTTTTGAAGTACCAATAATACTTCCCTTATATTATACCTATTTTATATACTTGTTGATTTGTCCAATAATTTTTTTTTTTGCTGCGGACTTGTAAGAGCCTTTTAAAAAATAGAAGTCGTTTATATTGATGAATTGCAGAACGGAAATGTTTTATTCTTCATTGATATATTTATATATGCGACCATGCATGAAAGTAGGAAGCTGGTTATTTTCAACATTATATACATCAACAATATGTACAATTGGTAAAAACTCCGTTGTCCTTCCAGATGAAGATATTTCAGTTAACATTTTGGCAGGTCAACCAATTACAAGCACAGTGTGTGCTATGATCTTTGTTGGGCTTCCATGTCCCCTCCCTCTTTGGTCGGTGTTCTTTAACGTGACGGCTTTGCCGGATTGAGGTTGGCAGCTGCGTACTGCCTTCCTCAGCTTCTGTATACATATGCCTTTTGGTGTAATGCCTTTTTATTGTCTGGGATCTTTATCTCACTGTTTGTAATTAGGCACCATTTCTTTCCCTGATGAGCTTTTGAAATTTGGTTGCTCTTAATTTGTTCCTTGCTATAAATTCAATGTTTCTGACGAAAAAAGAAGCAGCTCATACTAGGCTTTTTATGAAATTAGCTTTGACATATACTTTTGAGGAATTAGCAATTGTTTGATTAAGCTTCTGATCTTCATGAAAATTAATGTAAATTAAAGAATACATTGGACTTAAAATTTTGATTTTTTTTAGTACATCAAAATTTTTACACTAGAGGGATAGAGAGTTTGGCTAAGTCATACAATAGGCAACCTAATTTGGTATTGAATACGCCATTCACAAGATTCAAACCTAAGACCTCTTACTTCTAAGCGAAGAGGAATATCACCAAACCGTAGTACTTAGTGACTTCTAAAATTTTGATTTAGAGTTATCTAAATATCTTACATGTCACGTATTCCTTAAAATTTTGATTTAGACTTCTAAAATTTTGATTTAGAGTTAAGTGGGGATTTGGAATTCATTAAAAGATATATGAAGATGAATTGTCACTCTTAGTATGTCCCATAATAATCCCTTCGAACATGTCAACTGAGGAAAAAAAATAAGCATGGCAGAATGCATAGAGGAGTGGTATGATCGATACCTAAGAGTAGTTCCACCCCTAACACAAATGTGCAAGCACCCAGCGTATTTATCTACTCAGTTAACAGTGATAGACTCCAATGAACAATAATAGGCCAAGGGCATCTTCACCCCTAAAATGCGCTGGCACCCAGCCCATTTAAAATATTTTAACTTTTTTTATAAAAGAATAAATAAATAAAATAGTTTTAATTTCGGATCAGATTTTTAATCAATCTCGTCACGCCACGTGTCATTATCCAAACATACTAATTTTTATAGAAAAAAAAAAAAATTTTAAAATTTTTCTGTATTTAAAAAAAAATCATAATTTTTAATAAATTTTAATGTTGTTAATTAATCTATACCGATGGATTTGAAAAATATTCAAATCTAACAGCCAAAGAGCTGCCACATGGCCAACGGTCATAATTCTGATCGATGATCCTTTTATTTTATTTTATTTTATTTTTGGGGAAAAAACGTGGACCATTGATCTGTGATCGGATTGTCCAGTTTAAAAGTGAAATTCAATTTTTTTTTTACCGTTGGAAATCCAACAGTCTATAAAAACTAGTCGTTGGAAATTCAACGGCATAGAGTGGGCCATGTCACCGAGCCCAGGTGACATTTGAGTGCGCCTGCCAACGGGCCCCGCCTCTGATTTCTTGTTTGCTACTCGCGCCCACGCACGCGTGAAGGCCACGCGCCAGGCTCAAAAAAACAAACGGGCTGGTCCCTTGGTCAGTCAATTTTAGGCTGGCCTAGAGACTGGCTTAGGCTGGGTGCCAATCTATTCCACGGGTTGAAGTGGATTGGCTGAGTACCAACCTGTTTTTTCCACTGGGTGTTGGCCTCTTTTGCTTTCGGTGGAAGTGCTTTAAACGAAGAGTCATTAATATTAGAAATTTGGTTTACATTTTTTTGTTTATAAAATTTAGTTTAGAAATTTGGTTTTCTTAACATTATCCTTAGAGAAACACTAAGGTCATCTCCAACCGACCAAGCCAAAGGGCCTATGCAAAAAAATAGCCGGTTTTGACATGGAAACCGTCTCCAGCCGAGGGCTAGGCCAAAGGGCTTATGGGCCCCACCCAGCTATAACCCATCCACCAGGCCATTGGGTTGGCCATAAGAAGTCAGTCGGCTAGCCCAATTCTACCAGCCCAAACACATGCTACCTAACGTCACGCTAATGTTGTTGGATTTTTTTTAGATGAAATTTAAAAATAAAAATAAAATTCTAATTGTTTTTCCTATAAATACCTAAGCCATTTCTACACAATTTCTCACATCATTTTCACCATTTCATATTATCTTACCTCATTTTATTTTAATTCTTCACCAATTTTTCACATCCTTTTCTAAAGATAAAAAATATGGAGGCTTATTCATTTAGCGATAAGTGGCACTCAAAATATATCCGAAACCTTTATTTTAATATGGTAGTTTAATTCAATTAACCATATTAATTAAATTAAAATAACAAATTATTGAAGGGGCTAAAAAAACAGCCCCCTTCGGTTGGAAAAAGGTTTTTTGTCGAACATGCTATGTTTTGGCCTATGGCCCCCTCGGTTAGAGATGGTATAAAATATGTCTGGCACTGTTCATTAAAATATAATTTCTTGCAGGACTAAATGGCTAAACATGGCCCTTTGGCCCTCTTACAGTTGGAGATAGCCCAAATGGTCATGTTTATCCCTATAGCACTGTAAGAAATTATATTTTAATGAATAGTGTCAGACCATATTTTATACCATCTCCAACAGAGAGGGACAAATGGCATAGGCCAAACATAGCCCCTTGACAAAAAACTTATCTCCAACCGAGGCGGCCAAAGGGTCATAGGCCAAACATAACCCTCTCAATAATTTATTATTTTAATTGAATTAATATGGTTAATTAAATTAAACTACCATATTAAAATAAGTTTTTCGAACATATTTTGAGTGTCACTTGTCGCCAAATGAATAAACCTCCAGATTTCTTATCTTTATATAACCTTAAGAATTTTTCAGATAGGATTTCGAGTGACACGTGTCGATAACGTGAGTAACTCTTCAGATTTCTAGGATGGAATGGCAAAAAGGATGTGAAAAATGGTGTAGGAATGATTTAGGTATTTATAGGAAAAAAATTAGAATAAAAAAAAATTTGTCAAAAATAAAAAAAAATTTGTCAAAAAAAAAAAAAAATCAAATTCCAACGGTAACCTGATGTCATCTAGCCGTTGGCATTCAAATGGGTTGGGCTGGAGGGCTAGAAATGGACAGCCCGCTGGCCCGATTTTGGTTTTTTGGCCTAGCGGGGCCCACAAGCCCTTTGACCTAGCCCTCGGTTGGAGACAGTTTTTGTGTCATTCCGAGTTATTTTTAGCCTTTTGGACTTTTGGCCGGGTATGTTGGAGATGGCTTAAGGAGACTCTCTTAAAGTGAGACTTTCTATGGATTCCCAATCACCTAACAATATAACATCAATTCTGATGCCAACGTTTAAAACATTGTGCCAAAAAAATATGAGGTGGTAAGGAGTCCATAAAGTGTCTTACTTTTTTTTTTGAACAAACGATATTATCTACACTAAGGGGTGGAGGAGTTGGTGAGAATGAATATGTGGTTCAAATTTTTTTTTGACAAAAATCAAACTTAAGACCTTTCATTTATAAATGAAGAAGAATATCATTAGATTATAATACTAAGTGACATTAAAAAAGTCTTCTTAGCATTGCTTATATAGATTCCTATCAAAATATTTATTGATGGTGTATGTCAGCAGCATATAAGTATGAGGGCTGGTTGTTAAGTAAACGGAGGCATGCATCATGCCCAATTTTGTACTTCTTCGTACCATTTGGAATTATTAGTTAATTTAAATATTTTCCAATGAGAATTAGTCACAGCAAACTTCTATTGCTTTCTTCATCAGTTTAAATAACTAATATGTCACTTGAAAAGGCAATATGCTCAGGTAGCACTGTAATTAATCCTTTTTTTTTTTTTTTTTTGGAACTTTAACGAAAAATTCTCAGTACTATTAAGGATAAAGTACAAAAACCTACTTCAACTATTGGTGTCACGACACTTTCATACCTCATCTTTTAAAATTAACAATGTCATACCTCATTTTACAAATTTGTGCCAATGTCAAATCTCTGTTAGTTTTTCTATTACTTTTTCTGTTAAATGCTGATGTGGTTAGAAACAGGACCCATTTTTATTAAAAAAAATTTAAATATTATAAAAAAAAAACAATAAACAATAAACAAAAAAAAACCTATCAACCCGTGTCCCCCTCCCCAAAAACCTAGATCCTCTTCTTTGAGTTATCCTTCACCCAACCCTCTCTCTCTCTCTCTTTCTCTTTCGCCTCTCTCTCTTCTCTCTCCCTGCAACCTGCATCCCTAAAATCCCAAAACCAGAAACCATTCCCACCTGAGTCATCACTGCCGGCGAGCTCTCAATCCTCTGAGCTAACGATCGCTGATTAACCCCAGACCCTTCCTCGCCACTCCCACTGGCGTCGAAGCTCTACTTCTGGCACCACAGGTGCTTCTGGTTCCCCCACTTCATATACCACAGCAAGTTGAAATTGTACAGAGGCTTCGCCCTCTCAGAACCCATCGCCATGGACTTCACCT